AGACATGCTAGATGAAGCTTGTTTTGTCCCGGATTATAATGACACTGATTTGGTGGAAGATCCTACTGTCCTAATTGGTGAAGAGGGGGAGGAAGTTACCCACTCAAAGTGCAGAAGGAAGAAACAGAGGAAAGAAGTTCAGTGTGGTTTGTGTCTGGTGTCCAGTGCTGACTTGAGTAGACATTTTGGACGTCATGTGGAATCTGTTCATTTGCCATGGTATATGACTCCAGGATTGGTGTGCTGGTATTGCAGATCGATGGAAAAGGACAATTCGCTTTTACGTAAATGTCATGGTGATGTTCATTCGTATGGAACTGGTGAATTCGAGGAAAAACTGTGGATCCAATTGGTGAATGGATTTATACATTTCCTGATATTAACATTAAATATGAGAAATATATGGGAACTGATGGACTATGTGAAAAGTGAAGGACTAGTAATGTTGCCAGATAACTGTTCCAAGGAGGACATTGATTTTGTGAAAATGTACATTTATGGAAATGGTATGGAGCCTAAGACTGAGGTTCTGAATTCTTTGTTGACTTTGTTTCATTGGAGAACTTTGTACCATCTGTTACAAAAACTTTCATCAGAGGATCGCGAACTCAGTAGTCATTGGTATAGGCGGATGGAATTTACTTTGCTACATGGATGAAAAATGAACTATATAATAATTTGACATTTCACATTAACATTGTTATCATTAATAATGTTGTTTTGAGCAATTTAGTGTTAAAATCACTTTGTTTGCTTTTAAAGTTGATTTAAAGTGATAATGGATTTAAAACTTTGTTTTGCATTCCTAAGGGTGAACATTTATGCTGAGAGATGGATTTAATTGACTTTGCTTGTGTTAAAGTTAAAATGTTGAATCTTGGCATAACAATAATAACTTATTTGCTTTACTTGCTTATTTTAAATGTAAAGTAAGATTTCAGTTGTTATATTTGTTGAATTGTAGTAATTGTTAGTTTAACAATTTAAAGTAATGGTTTATATTGTAATAATAGGGGGGAGTTTTGTTCGTCAAAAGGGGGAGAGTGTGACGATGTAGTGTGTTAGTTGAGATTATTTTATATTGCTACCGGTAGATGTCTCTGTAAGTAAAGTGTTGTCCGGTGTGCAAGTTTGAATCTCTCCCGTGATTGGTAACTTAAAGGTAAAACTGTTCACTGTATAGTTGGTTCTGATTGGTAAACGTGTACTATCTGAACTTGTATATAAGGTGTAACGTGAAATAAATCGCTCTCTTTTGGCCTCTTTGCTCTTAGCGGCTGTCTTTTGCTCTTCTCTTGAGGCTTTTTGGCTTTGTGTTTAACTCTGAGATACCAGTAAGTACATTGTTATTTGTACCTTCATAAGGCACTCGGCCGCGAAGGCGTAACAATATATCTATCCTCACGAAGACCAAAGTGCAGCGGCGGTAAAGAACATGATCCAAATGTATCCTTTTCTTTATAGATTATATCTTTGACCTGACCAAGTATGTCATTATTTGAATTTTGCACAATAGATTTGACTATGATTCTGGAAGTTCATTATTATGTTGTGTTTCATTACAATATTATATCGTAATTATAATATTACTGCCAAACTCGTAATACAGTGCATGGTGTCCGTTGCTATGGGGGCAGAAATGGAACCATTTATTTTCCGGTAGGGTACAAGTATATCGAGCAATACGGGGTTTGGCTTTCTGGTTTCATACAAAAACCAAAGCATCCGGTGCCAGGGTAGGCAACACAATGACAGTCGTCATCGCTATCACAAGGCGGTTGGGATCCTGTTTGAATAGAACAATGACCACTTATTTTTGAGTTCAATATTACTAAGTCACATAGACTTGTAAAGATTCCTTTGTCTATAGTTATATACTTATATTTGTCTGGTCTTACCAGCCAATATTTCGTCACACCTATCACAACCTCATTCCCTGATGAAGTCTGGCGGCAAGCAGACGAAATATTGGCTGGTAAGTCCAGACAAATATAAGTAGCTGTAGACAAAAGAATCTTCACAAGTCCATTACAATAACACAGCTCATGCAACTGTTATACACTGCAAAGTCACATGTCACTTCTGAAGATTATTATAACTTTTTGATTTATAGCAGTATATGTAGATATTTAAAACGTACAAATTAATATAATATAATATAATATAATATAATATAAATCTGACTACATTTGTGAGTGTATGGTGCATTTAAGCTACAGTCAGCGAAGGTTGCTCAAGGTTCTCAAAAACAAGAAAAAATGGAATACGCTCGGTTATTATTGTCACTTTTATTAGTTGAGAATATATTCTGAAATCTTTAACTCAAGTCGAGAGCAATTAATACCGTAATCAGGTAAATAGATCTAATTAAACCTACCTTCCACTGTTTCGCAAAGCATTACCACGGATATCAAAAACAACAAAATGATCTTCATTCTTGTCGCTAGTGAACAATTTAACCGAATCGTTAAACTCAAACTGCTCCGTTCAAGATAAAGAACTAACTAACGCACCTATCGTTACGTTCATATATTACGTCTCTCATGGAAAAACGATTAGATTGTATGTCCTTACCTCATTTGTTAGGAAGGACCAGTATGTTTAGTAAAAAAAGAACGGAATTACATGAAAAAAAAATGCGGCACGTAGATACCTCGGTTTCCGCCATTTCCATGATTGAGCTTGAGCAAAAATATATTGTACATTAGATTGCTTGGCTTTGCATCTTCAAGTTCTGATCCTTGTTTAAATGTGCCTTAAAACGATCTCGAGCTGAATGTTATAATGATAAAATGGTTTTGCAGTCGTGGAAGAGAAAAAAAAACAATGACGAAAATCAATTGTCTGGCGTATTTTCTCTTCACAACTGCTTTAGGTACGATCCGCTGACTTGTGCTGTTGTCTTTCCCCTTGTATACCTTGTATGTCGTTCAGAAATCCTAAGGCGAACGTAGCTGCCAGATCACGTTCGACAAAATAGTGACCCAACAAGTTACGTTATATAACGTAACTTACTGTAACTGTATAATATCCATTAATGCAAAATGGGTGACTAGGCGGTGAGAAAAAACCTATTACAATGAATATTTGTCGTGGAAGCAGCTAATTCAATTGGTTAATTATGTAAGAAGAAATATACAATTTGCTCTGGTGCCCCCCTTCCTCCCAAGACTGTTTTCAAATATAATTTGTTCAAAGATGAACCGAACGCCATTATATCATTAGGAGCGATAAAACAAAAATCACACTTACATGATTCTTTTCAAATGTTTTGCCCGCTATTATGCCTTTCTGTTTTCGTTGAAAAAATTTGAACAACTATTTATAAAGCAAACTCGACATGTTTTTGTTTGACATAAAACTAGACGCTACTCATAATTTTGTTTGAAATTTGCTACTTTTTCTACATTTTGTTTTATAGAGATTGCTGCGGGTAGGTAGTGCAGACAGATTAAGTTGGCGCAGAGAGAAAATATGACATAATAGCAATAAAATTGTTCAGGTGCTGACATTGAAACATTAGTTATTTAAAATGCTTTGCACATAAAATATCAATTTGTCATTCACTTAACTCTACCTTAATACTTTTTTAAATTTTTTACAGTATTCATGTCATTTACTATAACGTTTCAGAGACGGATATATTTGATCATTTTGCTGTGCATGGAAGTTATACATAGGTTATAGCCACGTGGTCCAAAATTAGGGGTCTTTTGTGAAGTGTGAAAATAATTCAGCGGCGGATTTAGGGCGTCTTCTGGGTCTTCCGGAAGACGGTCATATTTTCAAGTTTACATTGACGGGTATCTATTTTTTTGTTTTGGTAGACGGTCAGAAATTAGGAACGGATCAACAAAGATAATTAGGAAGACTGTCAGAAAATATCTCTGGATCCGCCCCTGAATTATTATCGACTGATGGTCGAGAAATAAGATTAAATTTTGTCCCGTGTGGAAATATGTCTATGCTCTCTGATCACAAGGGTCGGTACTAGCCTGATACAAAATAGCTGAAAAAACTCTTTTCAATTTTTTTAACAGGCAGTATTAGAGACCATTAGATGATAAGAGGGATATATCTCTACATGTACCACTTCTCATTGCCAATGCTTAACGTGGTGACGGAGAAACGAATTTTCATAAGGGCGAGTTAATACACGTTTATGCAATGGTTTTGATGCAAGAGTATAATGCATGCGTGTTGGTGTATAACTTCTGTTGGTTCAACACACACCGCCCTTGTGTTAAGCTGACATTCTCTGATCGATTGTTCCACCTATCATGGCGACAAAAGGTACACGGAAGCGTATACCATGAATAATCCAAAATCAGACTTAATAGCTTTATAAAAAGTTAATACGTCCATACAAAAATCGCTTAGATATTTTGCTTGTGCATTTTTTTTTACTTGCTGTTGGATGTACGAGCGTGGAATGAAAGGAAATAAAAGTTTATTTCTGAATGAAGGTTGATATGATCACGGCTTCACTGCTTAAAAAATATGTATTTGATAAAACCTAGGCAACAATTATGAGGTGATATGCTTTGACAAAATATGGCGCACAATAGTAATATAGCGGTACTATAGTAAATATACTAGTGTACTATACAAAGCAGATTATATGTCATATAACATATTTCAGTAGAAAGGGTGAATTAATTTTTTTGATCAGCATCTAGTTTTCAGTGACACTCCTATGGTCAAGGCTGCCATCTTGACCCAGCAAAGGTCCCGCCTCTGGTAGACTACTGTTACGATCTATTCAGAAATGCTGCTCTTTATGAAAACCATGGTAGGGGTCAAAACACGAACTGTAGCCACAATCACCTAGGCCTACAGACTTTGAGTATTTGCAAGTTTATGTTCAGAAGCGAGAAAAGAAATCTCATTACAAACTACCTCGGAAATTTGCATTTTATTTTTATTTAGCATGGTTTTAATCGACCCCTACAATGTACCGGTACAGCCGTAATATTATACAGTGACACAGGTATACCAAGTATATCTTGCAGTAGCACTGCTGTCGTTCATAACGGTAGATTTATTCAACTGTTTTCTTAGTGTGATTGCGAATGAACTCTGAATATACATCTATCCTCTAGAAGTGCAGCGGCGGTAAAGAACATGATCCAAATGTACCCATTTTTATATAGATGAAATCTTTGACTTGACCAAGTGTGTCACTATTTGAATTTTGTTCAACATCTGTGACATTGATTCTGAGAGTTCATTAACCAGGGTTTGTGTTACGTAACAATATTGTATCGTTATTAAAATATTACTCGTAGTCCGTTGCTATGGGGGCCGAAATTGAACCATTTAACCTTGAATAGTGTGCGAGTATCTCCAGCAATACGGGGTTCGGCCTTCTGGTTTGATACAAATGCCAGTGCATGTGGTGCCAGGGTAGGGAACACAATGGCAGTCGTCATTGCTATCACATGGTGGTTGGGATCCTGTTTGAATAGAGCATTGACCACTTATTTTTGGGGTCACTTTACAAAGTCACATATTCTTATCCCCATTGTCACTTTTGCAGTTTTTTTTTACTATATTTTGTTTTGTAACACTGTTTGTGGATTTTTTTGAAATATGTATTTATTAATGATATAAATTTGACTACATGTGAAGGTATGATACGTTTAAACTAAAAAAAAAACAGGAATACACTAGATCAAACATACGTCTGTCAACTAATTCTAAAAGTTTAAAAAGATAAAAAGATAATTTATTGGCAGTATGCAGGAGGCTAAAGTGGTATTTTAGCAACTGAACAATACATAAATACTCCGACTTACCACCACCTACCCATGGGCTCCTTGAAAGTATTCCGCCTGAAATAGTAAGTTTTATAAAACGTCAGCCCAAGAAAGAGAGGCTGATGTTAGCGTTATTCTGTGCCATTTCCCCCAAAAATGTGTAATAAATTCAAAACAATGTCAGGCTTGAATATTAGCAACTGAAATTGACTACACTCAATCCTAATCCGACACTCTGTGCGCGATTCTTAAGAAATAAGAAACACCGTATTAAACTTGACTTCCTCGGACTACTTTCAGAACGTCACCTGAAACATGAATGCTGCTCGACAGGCTGCACTCATGGCAATAATATCTGTAGAAGGACATGAATGACAGAAGCAGGGAACCGTCGCCCAACCGTGTGTACCCTTAGCTAACAGTGGCATTATACATGTACGCTCGGTTTTTATTATCACTTTTATTTGTTAAGAAAACATTTTACGCCAGTAATTTTCTTATTTTTCATTAGCTCAAGTCGATTTGAATACTTTAATCAGTTAAATAGATCTAATATAACCTACCTTCCACTGTTCCGCAAAGCATTACCACGGATATCAAAAACAGAAAGATGATCTTCATTCTTGTTGCTAGTGAACAATTTAACCGAATCGTTAAACTCAAAGTGCCCCGTTCAAGGTAAAGAACTGACAAACACACCTATCGTTCACATACGTTCATATATTAACGGCTCTCATGTAAAAAACGAACAGATTATATGTCCTTACCACTTTTGTTAGGAAGAACCAGTATGTCTAGTGAAAAAAGAACGGAATCTGCCAGAGAGCACATGAGAAACAAAGGCGGCACGTAGATACCTCGGTTTCCGCGATTTCCATGATTGAGCTTGAGCAAAAATATATTATACATTAGATTGTTTGGCTTCGCATCCTCATCTGGTTATAATGCAGGCCCGTAGCAAGCAATTTCAAAAGGGGGGTTCTTTTTCTAAAAAAGTGGACCTTTTCCCATAAAAACTTCATGTACCTAGATCAAATTTTACCCAGAGTGGACCTTTTCCCAGCAAAAGGGGCGGTTCTTTCGAACCCCCCGAACCCCCCCCCCCCCCCTGGCTACGGGCCTGTAATGCAACCCTGAATCTGACTCTGGCAACCAAGTACTGCTGTCGTTCATTGTGGTAAATTTATTCAACTGTTATTCTTAGTGTGACTGAAAACGAGCCCTGAATATACATCTATCCACACAAAGTGCAGCGGCGGTAAAGAACATGATCCAAATGTACCCATTTCTATATAGATGATAACTTTGACATAACCAAGTATGTCACTGTTTGAATTTTGCACAATTGATTTGACTATGATTCTGACAGTTCATTATCCAGGGTTTGTGTTACATAACAATATTGTATCGTACTTAAAATATTACTGCCAATCTCGTAATATGGTGTCCGTTGCTATGGGGGTGGGGGGGGGGGGTGCGAAATGGAACCATTTAACCTTAGGTAGGGTACAAGTATCTCCAGCAATACGGGGTTTGGTCTTCTTGTTTGACACAAACGCCATAGCACCCAGTGCCAGGGTAGGCAACGCAGTGACAGTCGTCATCGCTATCACAAGGTAGTTGGGATCCTGTTTGAATAGAACAATGACCACTTATTTTTGAGTTCAATATTACTAAGTCACATAGATTTGTGAAGATTCTTTTGTCTATAGTTATATATTTATATTTTTCTGGTCGTACCAGCCAATATTTCGTCACACCTATCACAACCTCATTCCCTGATGAAGTCTGGCTGCAAGCAGACGAAATTTTGGCTGGTAAGACCAGACAAATATAAGTAGCTGTAGACAAAAGAATCTTCACAAGTCTATTACAATAACATAGCTTATGAAACTGTTCTACACTACAAAATCACATATTACATGTATTATCCGTAATGTCACTTTTGAAGATTATTATTATAAATTTCCTTGTAGCAGTGTATGTAGATATTTTAAACGTATTAATTAATATTATAAATCTGACTACATTTGTGAGGTATGATGCGTTTAAACTACAGTCAGGGAAGATTGCTCAAAAACAACAAGAATAAAGGAATACGCTCGGTTATTATTGCCACTTTTATTAGTTAAGAAATGTTTTAACGCAAGCCAATCTCTTATCTTTCTCAAATCATTAACTCAAGTCGATTGCAATTAATACCGTAATCAGGTATATAGATCTAATATAACCTACCTTCCGTTATTTCGCAAAGCATTACCACGGATATCAAAAACAGAAAGATGATCTTCATTCTTGTTGCTAGTAACAATTTAACCGAATCGTTAAACTCAAAGTGCTCCGTTGAAGGTAAAGGACTAAAAAACACACCTATCCATATATTAACGGCTCTCATGGAAAAAAAGACTGTATGCCCTTACCGCGTTTGTTAGGAAGTACCAGTATGTTTAGTAAAAAAAGAACGGAATCTGCCAGGGAGCACATGAGAAACAAAGGCAGCCCGTAGATACATCGGTTTCCGCGATTTCCATGACTGAGCTTGACCAAAAATATATATTGTACATTATATTGCTTGGCTTCGCATCTTCATCTGGTTATAATGCTACCTTGAGTCTGACTCTGGAAACCAAGTTCTGGTCCTTGTTTCAATGTGCTTTAAAAACGATCTCGAGCTGAATGTTGTAAAGATAAAATGGTTTTTGTAGTCGTGGAAGAGCGAGAAAAAAAAACTGACGAAAATCAATTGTCTGGCGCTTTTTCTCTTCACCCCTGCTTAAGGTATGGTTTGCTGCCTTGTGCTGTTGTCTTTCCCCTTGGATACCTTGTACACTATGTCGTTGAGAAATCCTAGGACGAACGTAGCTTCCAGATCAAGTTGAACGAAATAGTGACCCAATAAGTTACGTTATATAGCGTCCGTTATACTGTATAATATTCATCAATACAAAAAGGGAGACCAGGCGGTGACAAAAAAAAAAAAAAAAAAAAAAAAAAAAAAAAAAAAAAAAAAAAAAACTCCTTACAACGAACATTAGTCCTGGAAACAGCTAATGCAACTGATCATTTATGTAAGTAGACAGATGTATGGAACGAAACAAAACAGTGCCTGTACAAAAGCCTTATATATGGCTCTCTATTGGAAACAATCATGTCAGGTCACTGCAGTTTGTAAGCTCACCATCAGCTGAAACAATTCCAGTATTATCTCAGGTATCTTAATTTACTATAATCATTCTGATCATTTTTCAAAAGTGCTTATGTTTTCTACCGTATGGTGCAAGTATTTTTCTGGTTTCATTTTCACTCTATTTTATTCTATTTTACTCTACTTTTTACAGATTAATATTTTAGAAACCAGTCATGATAACGATCGTTTGATTCTATCGTTTGATTCTATCGAGTGCCATCTCAACAACCTGCTTGTTGCAGACATTTATGCTAAATATTGTTTGCATTATGGCAAAGGTGGAATGGCCAACATGGACCTGGAAATTTGCCCATCTCAGTAATTATTTGTCCAGCGCCTTTAGTGTTTGGTTTGTGTTCGAAAACAAAAATTAGAAAAGCCTATACGTTTGTATCATGTGCATTTATCCAAACGATGAACTCGATATCGTTCCGTTGAGTAGGTCGACTAGCGTGGCATTGTTTACCAGGCAGGGGTCGTGCGGAAGGCGAGGTCCTAGCCAATCGTCCAAGCCGTACGCCATGACACTTCCGGTTGTCAGACCAATGCTGTAGGTAAGCGTCATCATATTTCCTGAAATGTCAAAAAAATTTCTTCGAGGTATCTAATGTGATATTACGTCATTCGTTTAAGCACATCCGAAAATATGAACCAAGTCGAACTTAACAGGTACGGACCAACACAAACGTACATGTACATATGTGTCGGAGATGTGACAAGAACTACGATATATTTTTTAATAAAGAACAAGATACTTAAAATAGCATTCACGCAACCAAATACTTGATGCCCAGTCCGTTCGCCCGATAGTGGAAAAATCATGCCACAATGTCGAACGAACGAACAAAAAGAGGTTTGTGAAGGGTATGTTATGTTATATGTTATACAGAGGCGCATTTTACCTGTAAGCTCCTTTTGTTCATCTGGCACCTTGGTGGAGGCTAATATCATAGGGACACTGCCAAAGTAACCGTTGGTCACCCCTAGAATCAATGATATCAGCATGGCCCACCCTTCACCGTTCAGTATTGGTCCAAGGCGGGGCGTGGCACACATCATCATGAGCGGAATTAACAGCACACGGAGGATAGAACAAGCCAGGAGACGACGAGGGGGCCAATCGTAGGGCAATGACGCTATGATCTTAAAGAATATGAAGACTGTTTTAGAGTTGGTAACTAGAGTTAATTCTATATAAATTGTAGATATTTGGTTGAATAAAATGGCAGCGCTTACAAATGAATATATTCTGTAGCTCTATATGGATCCAAAGTAATCGTTCGCATACAACTTCACTTTATTTATTTATACTGTAGATTGATTCCCTTTAATGTAGCGGTTTGTTACATTGTACAAATAGAAGGAACAGATTAATTTGCCAAAATCAACGCCACAGGCTTGTAACTCATGTAAAACTTCGATTGTGACGTTTGAATTATATACCCCGGTACTGTGTTTAATGCAATATTCATTCTCTCAATGATTGTGAGTAACAAAACAACTTTGAAATTGTCCCAAAGCTACCTTGCCAATGAAGTCCGAGGCATTGAATATGGCCATCAGAACTACAGGCATCCAGCTCCCCAACCTACAACTCAGGATCTCTGACTCAATGCCCGGGAACAGGCATAGCGTCACGAAGTACGCAAATGCAATGGACATCATGTAAGGCCACGTGGTCCGGGAGGCACGTTTCCGCAGCACCACGCCGTCTGGATGGAAAAAGTCAAACTTGGCCGTGAGTGAGAAACGCTATTTCCTTTGGCAGTGTTAAAGGGGCTTCGCGACAGAATACTGAGAAAACGTGATCGAAACATGCAGTATTTAAACATTTACGGTATACTAACAGTATATCGTTATATTTCACGCTGCAATTGGAAAATAGTGACTTAATTCTGACTAATGCAGCAGAATACTGCAAGTACGTGTACACTTCAATTAAAAAGAACTAGACTTATATTTTCTCACGTTTGATGGCGGCCCATATGGTTGTAGGTCTCCTGACTGTCCAGGGTTCAGACTTGATTCTGACGTCATCAGCAATACTATGACGTGAAGATGACGACGACACAGCGTGTCTAGGTTGATCGTCATGCTCGATGACCAGAACCCCATAGTTTCCTTGGTTAGTTGTATGGTCCACTATTTCAACCTGTATTATATGATAATTAGAGCTACTTATAAGAAGTTAATTACCAATCAAAACCTGCTTTAAATTTAAACGTCTTCCATCCTAAAAAGAAAGCTTCGTCGACAGGTGAGCCCAACTACGGACCCAGTCGTTGCCGCGAAAATTCTTCACTTATCGTCTGCAATCACTCACTTTCAAATATGAAAATAAACTATCATAACAGACGTTATTAAAATCAATGTGAATGTTAATGATATTTTCTCCAGTGAATTCAGGATTTTGCCCATTTTTAAGGGGGGGGGGGTATAAAATATTTTACCCAGCGAAGCAAGGCTAATATGAAATAATAGACTACGGCAATTTTACTGTTATATGTCGGGCATAGGGACAGAAGATTGCTTGGTTTTGACTCTTTTTTTTCCAAAACATACCGTATCTTTTTTTTCTCCCGGTGAGAGCGGGGGTGGGGGTGTTACATGTAGATAGGGGAGAAGGGGTATCTCCGATTCTAAAGGGGATGGTACTTGTCCCAATATACTGTCTTCACCCGATATTGATTTTGCACCACTAAACATGCGCCTTCCCTGAGTACCATACCTCTTCTTGCATCACGGTCTGGTTGGAAAATCCCACTTTATCGTCTGGTTTGCCAGCTGTACGACATATATTCTCGTAGAATCTCGCAAATTCCGTCCTGCGGATTAGGTTGAAGATGACAAAGCACGCGAATACGGTCACAACGGAGATGCAGAAAAAGATCATGGTGTTGACTTTTTCATCATTAAGAAGAGCTTTCGTCACAATACGGTTTGCTGACACCAAAAGGCCTGCTGCGCCTGGAAAATAATCGTTGTACTGCATTAAACATAACATCCAGTCCTAACATTGAAGTGCAGGCATCTTCTGCATATTGTTGGTTTCACGTTGAACGTTCACACAATGTCTGAAAAATACCAGTAGCCGGTTTCTCTAAAGCACGTTGGTCCGAAATTTATTTTTATTCCACATATGGGGCAAATTGTAACAAAAAACATGTTGTTTTGTGCAGAGGAAATTTGAAAAGAAAGTTTGATAGTGGACCCATTAATGAATTCAATGACTTCATCGCCATCATCTTCCATCAATATGTGGTTATAGTGTGACACGCTCCTCTAGATATCTACATTGGCGGATCAAAATCATTCATTTATTCATTCATTTTTTTGTAAGATTTGTCCTAGAAATGAAAAGCTTATGCATAAATGTTGCTCCACATTGCAAAGAAAAGCATTTTATCTTACTTACAAAATAAAGTTATTCATATCATATCTAAGGTGGACGGAAATGCCTTTCTCTGAAATCGATGATATATGAAAAGATGTCGTTCTGTGCTGTAATCCCTGATATTATCTTGCTTCAACATTTCTTATACAGTATAACATTATTTAGTTTAATTAAGGCAGCATGAATAAATGACTGATCTAAGAGACCCCCCCCCCTTTATGTCTTTAAACGCCATGTTCTCAGCGGATTAACAAAAATTTTCGCGTCCAAACCTTAAGAGGTTGACTATAATTGGAACGCCCTCCCCATACGCCCCCCCCCCCCCCCTCCAACCAGTTAATGAGTTGAGTGACCAATACGAAGTCCAGAGTGATATCATGGAGGGATTACATAACGGGTATTGCAATCAAGTGCGTGTCCCCAGAAGTTTGGATCGGAAAGGGGGGGGGGGAGACTTAAATGGAACTTACTTTCCCCTGTCATAACTGCCTGCGTGTACCTCATGGGCAGCATACTGGTATAGCCGTAGAAACTGGATTGTTGAACTGAAACGAACAACGGAAAGAAACTCGTATTCATGGGTATAGTTCACAAATGAAATAGGATGTGAAGAATACATAATGAACCAAGAAAATTCCCTTCTTTTCCTTATTATTTTCCGTCCATCTCTGGTTAATTAACTTATAATGCCATACCGAATTGCAAACTGACAATTGATGGATGCATTATCATGCACTGAACTGACATGAACGAAGAACAGAATTGGACTAAAGACTTTAACTGACGCGTGTACTTATACTGCTGAGGTCGATATTCACTGGCGTAGCCTACTCTTTTTGCTGAAGCAACCAACATCAAATTAAGTTGCGAGACGTTGAGCCCGTTACTGAAAATGATCCCTTTCTTACTGTACTTGTAGCATGAATCTTTTTTTTCTTTTTCTAATAACTTAACGCAGTGCTTGGAAAGCATCTCCCTCCTATTGATTTTTTAATCACATTTAATTACGAGTTTCAGTTGATCTTTCTTATCAGTTGGTTGCTGTCAGAAGTACGTTTGATGAAGAGAAAAGAATTTAGGCCTAGGAATATTATTTCTGTTATTTCTGTTGCCAGGACGACGTGGTTCAGAACAGAGTAGACAATTAGACCCGCGAATACTGCAAGGTGCAGATAAAGAAGATGTCAAATTTATTCCAGCTGATAAAACGTCAGCGCCTTCTGTAGCAACATTTTATATCTTAGTTACAGAATCAAATACATGTAATAGGTCTTCAACGACATCCTCAGTTCTGACATTTTTTACTTTCACCATTTCCTTTTTCATTTTTGGAGATAAATAGTTCATTTGCTAAAGCAGACCTAGTTGCAACTAGCCCGATATTAATTAATAAATTTTCCATATCATCCCAAATGTGAAGAAGACTTCACTCCGTATTCGAATTCAGGAATCTTTGACATCGTAATCTTTACTCGCGTTCACAGACAAAACTGAATCATACTGAACAGGAGAAAGGACAGACACCAAACTGCGGATTAGATTGCAAATTTGCAGCGAACGAATCTATAGTAATCGCTTTAGTGCATTTTATTTTATCAAGGCAGATACGGTCTTTAATAAACGGCTCTCAATACACAGGCAGCTGCAACTGAGTAAACGAATATTGTTTGGTATATCGATAATCAATAGAAGTGAGCGAACTCGTTTTGCTGAAGAAGCAATGGCTTGTCAGTTTCAGGTGCATCGTAATATTTGCAGCGTATTTTCTCTGCATTGATTCTGTTATTTAATTTGGAAAGTAAAAATAATGGAGCAGAATAGGAGGACATAAAACCCTCATCCCCACCCAACTCGTCTTTATATCTATAACACGTTTCATGCAACATGGTACATGTACGAATCGCCTTCTTCTGATATCGGGCATTGAACTGGTAAAATAAAGCGGTCATAATTAAAGGCGACACCTACCAGTGCAGCCCAGAGCCACGGTGCCCACGGCCGCCAATGTGACCCTGTAGGCACTGTCCCTGGTTAGCAGCTCAAACCACACGTCAAATAACGCCACACTTAACAATGTCAAGAACGAAATTACGTATCCCACTGTAATCCTAGTGTGAAGACTCAGCAGTTCCACCAGTACATTGTTAATGCACACACTTACAAACGCGACACAGATATATGTAAGGCTCATATCGAATACTATTGTTGTGTCGGGGAAACGATCTTGGTAGTAGTCAACCGCTATGATAAAGCTGTTGTATGGCAGCAAGAACCCAGCTCCGGCCAGAATTAGACCAAGGTAGATGCAGCTGCAGGTGTCGTGGGGTACATTGAGGCCGGACGGGGACTGCCCACTCTCACTAGACTGGCCGCCAATGCTGGACACACTAGCCCTCTGTTTGCTGAGCTGAACGTAGCCTCTTGACAGGTTTTCATCCATTTTGGATTTTGCTCGGTTCTTGCAGTGTAATATCTGTCACATTGATAGTAGATCTATTGTCGTCGCGAGGAACCTGGTAAGAAAAATGTCAGCCTCTCTATTCCTGTCCAAACCATGCCTGGAGGCAATGCCAGTTTACATGAGACAACTCACTAAGCCCAGACTGAAACCTTCCAAATAGAGTCCCAACGGTTTAATACTTGCACCTTTCCTCAGCAATGTGTACAAATGTACAGTGCAGTGATTTTGCGTACTTGAAGACTTGTAATTGACTCAATCGATCGTCATCTTTCCACGTTTTATATTGAGTTATCCAGCTTGAAGGTCAACAGTGAATGGCATTTGGATACACACCGGGTGTACTGGTACATGCATATGCCATTGATGTTCCTCCACCGGGTTCAACATTCAGGTTTTCATACGTTTAATCCTTATTCCATTCTGAAACGAACTCTCATTCAATCCATAATATATTACCGGTGAACAATACCAAGTGATTTAACGCCATGTTGCCATTACTTATACAAATTGCTTTACCCAAGAATGCTGGGATATCCTTCTGTGATATACTGCATATATATGTTACTGCCATTGGCTTATAAACCCCTTTGGGACCATCCCATTAGAGGTCATCCCGTTATATGTCCTGGTAAAATACTATTATTCACTGTACACTGATCGATAGTACAGCATTCTGCACTGTAGTTCTTTATCTAGTTATTCAAAGACGAGTCCATTTCCATGTTAAAATCGCTAATCACTAATAAATTCGTAAGAGCTTGCATGTGCCTGGCTGGTGTTTCGAGAACTGGTGAGGGACAGCATTAACCTTTACGTCCGGTCTGCATGTAACACACCAAGTTTCAGAGCACACTGAAAACTCTGCTTCTGCCACCATTCATTGGCGATGGTGGGATATTTTGCAGATTTTACTGGATTCAGGAATTTAGACGGTGTAAAACATAGGCGTAGGAGCCAGGGATCCGGGGTTAAGGGGATAACCTTTCTTCATTTATCCCCTTATATCTTTAAGGCCCCATTCAGAATAGGGTACTAACTAGTCCGAGGGTCAAATATGGCGACCCACAACAAAACTTGCCGTCTAATCGGCTTATACATGTAGATATCCCGTAGGGAAGTATTCAAGTAGGTCGGCCATATTTGACCCTCGGACTAGTTAGTCCCCTATTTTTAATGGGGCCTTATACAGCTCTGGTTATCTTTGAAATGAATAGAAATTTTGCAGAATTCTTTTTAATCTAAACAAAGCGAAAAACAAAATAATTTCTATCGAAATGGACACCTTTTATACACAAGGGCCCAGTTTCGTCAACACTGGATAGCGCTGTCCCATGGAATACACTATCCATTGGATAAAATTGTTATCTGGAAAGTTATCATGAGGAGCCATTTTAACCACATGATAACAGTATCAGAGGCACAATAAGTATCTAGTATTCAGAAAACATTACTATATACACAGGGCAACTGCCTGGGGGATTACTGCTTTATCTTATGGATAGTATTATCCAGTGTTGAGGAAACTGGGCCAAGTAGTTTAATTTTCCTATAGATCGATCAATATTTGTATTTTTAAATGAATTTGTTTGGAATTCAATGTAATTCAAACATTCTTTCAAAACAACACAAGTCGCTTTCTCAGACGTTAGAATTTAATCAAGATAATAATTCAATAATATTCCAACGTCAAGTTATTACAGTTTTTACAGTCCCACGTGACTCTTGTGTTGTATTTTCAACATTTTCCATCTTTGTCGTAGTTCACGTAGTTCTGACTAAACGTTTCCCTATGATCACTGAAGCACTGCGCAGCTGCCGCGTCGCATTCACACACAGCATTTCGGCATGTTCCGAAAAACCAATAATAACTTGCAGGCTCTGAAAAAAGAAAGTAAAGTTGCTGCAAGAACTATTAATTTAAAAAAAGAACTATTGGCGTTTTAAAACGGGCCTCATAAACGGCAATTGCTGTTTGAGACTTAATTTGCGAATTAATTGCTTATTTCATGACCGATTATATAAATATTGTCTGCAAGCACCGCATTGCAATCCACGAACTATTTGGCCTGCTATCATTCGCGTCTTTCCATGTATACGTATGGAAACTGCTTCTCGACCGCGAACTTTTTTCAATATATCGGAAGAGGCATCATAACGAAGAACTGCTCGTTAGAGCTTTTGGCGATTCCAAATCGGTAAAGAGTGACATTTCTCCACTTTCTCCGTCTATCGGCATGTATAGAGGTGAGTTGACATAAGTTCTTTTGAAAATCGACTGGTTATGGGATACTTACTGCAAACAGTGGGATTGCACCCGTCCCAAGAATACGGGACGACATAAACTGATATAGACAATGCACAGGTACCACTGGTCTGTATGGCAGTATAGCAGTCATCGTGAATTTTACAACATCTATAATAAAGGAAGGCGATTTGGGATTTCAAAAAGAAGAACTACACAGTCATCTTTACAAAGATACATCACGATTATTTATCTATAAATTATGCGTTAAAAATGAATCAATGAAAATAAAGCTTAAAAAAAAAGAAACAATCGAGAAAATTCAAATCCATAGATGTGCTTTACTTTCAAATCCATATGTTCACTTACTTATCTGTTTCATCCACCGGTGTACCGGAACCGCCAAGCCCACAGTAACAGCCGTATCCGTTATAACTCAAGGGGTTTGCACCCGTAGAACACAATACCAACAGTCCAAACTCAACCACAGAAGGTTGTATATCAGTCCTCACCGGCGCTGGGATAATGATAATAATAATAATAATAATCAATACTGCAAAAATCGCAAATGTTAGCAATCAGATCTAGACATTTTGTATATTTTAGCCTAATTTTCTTGGAGATTTTAACCTTTTTCCTTTGAGGATATGTATCCCGTTGGCAAACATCAGGATAAAACGCACTTTATATAATACTAATTGTTATGATTTTATTATCATATAGTGTTCATGACCTTTATTTGTCCTCGGAAATTATCAGGACTTTATTTATTTATTTATTTATCGATTGCATGCTTCAACTTCAACTACATACGATAAAACTCCACCTACTTTCCTCAAACGCGTACACCAGCAAGCCTCCCTCGAACACGTCATAGATGGTACAGCTGGCATCTAAGCCCTCTAAATCTCCTCCGTTGCCACTTTCAGTGGTCAAACAACGGCCATCGAATGAAATAGCAAAGTTTAGAATACCTGAGAGTCTGGCCTCTTTTACACAGGCCTCTAGATATGGCGTGAGGTCGGTAGAGTTGGCAGGGACAGGGAGAGAAGGGTTGGTATGGAATTCTTTGTTGTAAATATTTTGCAGTTCAAACGTGCACCCCAGTCGCCGCAGCGTGCGCCACCCATCTGTAAGACAAATTAAGAAGAGAAATATTATTTCGTTTTCATTTACGTTTTCTTTGGAAATGATTTCCTTCGTTTTGTTTGAAAAATTCCCTCAGGTGTCTTTTTTTTTTTTTTTTTGTGCAAATGTACTTTATTTCAATATTTTAATCACCAGACATAGGCATCTGATCAAGGGTCGGAGCACTGCATATAGTAACCTCTCTATGGATTTATCAACTTTTAAATAATGAATAAAATAAACCGCTTTTTTGTCTTCATGAACTACACAAATGAAGACCCGGTGCAACGAAACTGAAGGTCTGTGTAACAGAGTCCACCCTCCATTTAGTTATTATGGTTAGGGTTAGCCTGATCTTAGTGGGTAAAAATCTAGGGCGAGGCTTACCTGTGGACAAATGAATGGGAAGCGGACTTTCCATCATGGGGGACTCTTTTGTTTTGTCACGTTACACCGGTTTCAAACAACACAAAGTTCTACAATTCTAGGGTACGTCGAACCCATGTGCACAGTGTTTCAAAACTGAAAGTCCGAAGATCGACTTTCTGTCCAGAAACAACGGGTCCCAGACTCTCTTTAAAGGCGGACTCTATGATGCCCGANATCGACTTTCTGTCTAGAAACAACGGGTCCCAGACTCTCTTTAAAGGCGGACTCTATGATGCCCGACACCGGTCATGCGCAAGTGCTTAGGTCAAGGCAAAACTCTTTCGAGTCAATTCATCTATTTTGCCTCCACCCCTCCCCCTTCCTCCCCCTCCACCGTGTATCCAATGTTAAAACACCCTGTGACTCACCCGGCAAACATTCGGTGGCCTCTCCCCAGTCGCACACCCCGAGGACCACGTTAAACCGCATGCCCTCTGCCGGACAGTCCCTCTCAAAGCCAATACCATGGTGACACTGCACGTACTTGTTACAGGACTCAGGGTGAGTATTCAGCTGGATTCCAGTATCGCAGATCTTATCTGAAGTTAATGAAAAATATGAATAAATCAGTTACTGCACATGTGTTTTTAGATCGGGTAGCTTCCTTTGAACTTGGACATAATAACGAGTTATTATGTCCAAGCTATGAAGTACACAACAAATGTGTTTATCATTTATGTGATTATCATCATAATACTGCTGTTGTTATCATTATCATTATTACCATTATTATTTACGGGCGGATCTTGATTAAAACAATGTCACACTAGTTACTTTGCTCTGGTGACAATCTTTTCATCGCCAAAATTGGTGCCTGAATTGTGCCCCCTAACGCCGATACTATCTTTCTCAATTTACAATGGTGACATTATATTCATGGCCTATACATGTACATTTGCTAACCTGGGCCCCGTAGCGCAAGCGTCTCGATTTCATAATTCACCCATACTCGCCTCAAATAATAGCCTCGGAATAAAAGGTGGTACCGCTATTCGCAGTTCGCGATGCTTTCGAGTTACGGAGCCCTGCTCAGGCTGCTCTTACTTGCGACATACCGCGTACAACAAACTAACTCTGTATTTGTGAAATATATATGGCAACGAAATATTGAGGGAAGGGGGGGGAGGAAAGAGGAATACCTCTGAATCTAAAAACTATGTTCCCAGAGATTGTCGTTGTTGTTAGCATTGAGCAGACACTTTTTGGGGCACATTGCATTTGTAATATCGAAAAGGGACCTTGATATACATGGACATGAACATGGACCCATGTAACCATGTCACCTAGAGGAAATTTTTAGGCATGAAATATAATGGTGTTGGTAATATTGCAAAGATATGACGGCAATGTTGCCACCCTACACAGTTAAAGTGGTGTCCTAATTTCTAGTACATGTACGAAGGGGTCATAATGCAAATTGGCATTTACAGTACACGTCCAAAAACGGAACCGAATGAAGTATTTCCTTATCTTTATGCATCAAATTAACATTTTATTTTGTATCAATAAAAGTGTCTGGTCTTATAGGACACTAGAAGCACAAGGGGGTCCTATGGCAACTTTTGCTACAACATGTATAAGGTTCAATGCAATACATAGTGACGATCGAGCCCAGAGAGTTCAAGGCAATTGCGTGCCACTCCTTTAACTTCAGATGTGAGTATGCGAAAATGTTGAGTTCGAGTCCATGTCAATACAGATAGAACACATCTTTTATATGTTGATGTTTTATTCACAAATTTCAAGATGGATA